GGAAATAGTGTCAGCTTGACATAGTCCTTAGAAACGTTCGGATAATTGTAAGTGTCCGTAATTTCCAAGAAGTTCTGAATGTGCCTCTGCGGGTCTTCATGAGATAGACCCACATATTGCCCTGTGGACTGAATCAGCTGTACCATGTACTGTCTGAGTTCAAAATGCCCCGTGATATCAGGCTTCACGATAGCCTGAGTCATATTAGCAAGATTGGGTCTTGCGGCTTCTATCACCGAACGCTCCTCATTACCTGCCATCTCTATTGGTTGTGGTTGAACTACGATGTCCAACTCTCTTTCTATTCTCGTTCTAGCTTCGACTTCCCTCCTCACTCTATGAAGTATTCGTTCAATTTTTGGATCAAAAGGAAGGAGGTTGTTTGTNATTTAGCAAGAGTTGTATTTCACTATACGGCCTCGCCATGCAACTACCCCCACACGCTGAATCAAGATTCATCTTTGATGCCTCGTCTAGCCCATCAACAAAAGTGTGACCCAATATNATAAAGTATCGTTCCCACGAAGACTTATGATTAACTTTTGACTAATTCAAACTCAAATAGCTTATCGATTCAAGCGATTTCTTATAAAATAGATAATTGTCTAATTTACTACCTAAAAACTATCAATTAATGAAATACTAGAAATCAACACAACACTTAAATAGTTTTAAATAACAATCAATGGGAGATAATATTCGAGGGGGTTAACTAACAATCATGTTGCATTCTTAGCTTAAAATAACTAATTGATTTATCTGGATTGTTGATTGACAGGGTTGATATTACTTATAAGAATCTGTCGAGTCCTTACTCGCCTATTTAAGCTAACTTAATACCTATATGTCTATGGAATTAAGATTAACACGAATGCATTTACACTTCCTGTATTTCAACCGAGCAAGATAATTAGGTTTATTTCTATCCTAATTGCGAATCCGTTCCCCGATGTCCGGATTCAAGAACTTGCTCTATTTAATTCTATATACAATCTAGAATTCCCACTTTCGAGTTCAACTCTAGATTCGTAGATAGTAATTCACTGTTAACTACTCAGCAAATTAATTAAAAACAGAATTAAATAAACAACCCAATATGATAAACTTTGTCAAATTAAACTTCAAACATCAACATTCATATATCGCCCATGACCCTAGAATAATAGTGTTCTTAGCCACTCATGTTCATGCAATCATCAAATAATTCACAAGAGTGGATAAGAATCAATAAAAGAAGGAAAAATAAGAACTCAAAATAAATTTCGTGGTTTCCCAGCTTTGTCGTGGCTTTTTCCCTCTTCCCAATCTGTTAGATGCCCTAAAAGAGGCGTCTTTAGCTTATATATTGCGTACAAAAGTCGTGGGTCAAAGTTTTCCTATTCCTAATCCGACTTGGCTACATGGATTGATGCTGGGGTGGATGCGTCGCATCCACCTCGTCCTCCACTTCTCAGCTTCGCATGCTAGGGTGGATGCTATGGGCCGACTTCACTGCTAAGGATGCATGAAATCTGATTTTTTTCTCTAGATTGGATCGACGCATCCAATCCCTCTTCTTCTACCTAGAGCACCTTTTCTTCATATTTTTGCACTCCAAATACCCTAATTCATCATACACAACTCAATTAGTCATAAAACCAATAATTAAACCATGTTGGGCATTTTAAGGATCAAATAGCATCAAAAAGCGGTTAAAACATGGGTAAAGTAACATCAACACATATCGAAATATGCCCAACATAAACTTCGCAAGTTTTTTTTTTTTTTTTTTGGTTTAATGTAGACTTCTCAAAGCTTTAAAGTTGTGGAACATAGAAAACTTTCGGAACGAGTAGAAGTCGACATAGGGATTAAAGTTAGAAGCAATCAGCTCAATAAAACAATATAGGAGAGCAAAACAAAACAAAAAGAGGCAAGCTTTTTTCAACCAAAAAGATTATATATTACGCTTTTGCTTAATTTTGAAGTTTTACTTGTGACATTGATTATGCCAAAAAAATGAGTGATTATAATGAATTCAAGGAGCAATTTAAACGAGGACCATTACGTATATGATCTTAATAGTATCGCTTTAAAATACCATTGCCAACATAGCAGTCTGTATAAATAGCTTTCAAAATATATCAGGAGAACGACATGGTTTAGTTTTTGATGTCAAGCTCATTTTAGAAGGCTCCAGACTGAAGCTTAAAAGAATTTACAACCTTCTTTTTTCATCACAGAACACTGTGGACAGAATGGAAAAGAGTTAATCAACACAGGTATGTTTCCTACTGTTGTCAATACTTAATCTTCCATAGTATAGAGGAACGCTTATCATTTGTGGCTTCTTGTAGTACTGATAATGTACTTTCTTGCTTACCAAGCGCTATGAGCTTAGAATCTAATACACGTAACAACTCCTTATATCTTGATTGTTTCCTCTTCAACACACGAATATAGGCAGTTAATCCGAGCCATTCGATTTCACCTTTCCCCAATTCAAGAATTGGACGACAATCTGAACCAGTTTTGAAGGAGAACATCCTCCTCTTGATGAGCTTTTTCATATACCTAGTGAGAAAAATGAGTTAAAAGCAAAGCAGCATGATGTCAACAATAACAGGAGTACAATAAGATTAAGAATGTAAATACTGATGCACTCTCCCTTGCCCCCAACCCCTTTCATTTAGAACTCTAGCAGAGCTGAGATTTAAAATAATTGAAGAGGCTGTGTTCCAATTTAGATCCACCACCAGTATATAAAGAGCACCAAATCGCACCAATGATGATGTACTAAATGTTTCATACCTCAATGATTTTCCCAAAGCATCTGCATAAAATTTGGTGCTGAATCTACATATGCTTGATAAATCAGAGATGTAGCAATGGAACTTCATGGCACACAAAAGAAAAGCTTGATAAATGTTGAGTCTGACCACAGCTGCTGAGTTTATGTTAGAATCATAGAATATAGGATGGCATTTCGGTCTCAGATAACCGCACAGCTTAACCTTTAAGTCACGGCCTGGTTTATTTAGCCAGCCAACAGTGAGGGTTGAACTCAGTGGGAAATTCAAATACCTGCTAGAAAAAGGATCACATCAACAAATATCTACTGATTAAATCAAATTCCTTGAGCATTGAGAAAATCAGTTAGAAAGGAGAGTACAAACAATCATGCAGAGGGAGATATTGCCAATTGCCTAACTTCCTAAACATTAAGTTAACAAGTTTTAATGACTAATTGATAGCCAAATAAATTAAGTTTAATTCCAAGTATGCTAAATAAAATGGTGGTTGCGACAACCATTTCGATCGACTAGGCATGGTAGTAACTCCCCTTTATCATGATATAAACGTTAAGAAGCACCAGAAAAAACAAAATAACAGCTTATATGAAATCCACAAGTGATGCCATGTTGCTAGGAAGATAGCTGACCTCGTGTAATCTGCCTGAATTTCCAACGTTGAGCAGTTGATAAATAGTCCACTCCACCGAAGAAATGAGGTTCCATCTTCAACCACATACAATCTATCCGATCTCAGATCTGGTATAGTGTTTATCTGAAAGTTCATTCCAAATTTCTTTTTGTTCATGTCGCAGTTGTAGGCTCGAAACCCTCTCTGCAACCGTGAGAAGAACCTAGAAGCCTGTTCCTTTGAGGTTGAGATGAAAAGCAAGTCATCAATAAATCTAAGTAACAGATAGCTAGGTTTACGCATTTCGAGGTGAGCACATCTTGAAGCTGTATCATCAAGAAAACATCCCTCTGAAGGAAATCCAGGGGCAGGTTCACAAGCTTTGTCAAGGAATGGAAATATTACTGACTTCTCGAGATGTCCTAAATACAAAGAGCAGAGCATAGAGGACAAAACACTCCCTTGAGGTATACCAACAGATTGCAAGAAAAAATTGCTACCTAACCGCAGCACATTGCGCTTTATGTGCTCCTTCAAATCACTTTGAAGCTGTTCTTTTCTTACTTTTCTGCCTTGCACCTGGAAGATTAAGTAATTTAGATTTTATTATAGCCACTTCTTGTAAGTAAGGTTCTTAAAGCATAAATACCAGGTCATGTTTAACTGAATGATATAAGTTATTTGTCAAACTGCTATTTTCTGATTTGTTCTTTGGTTGATGGGGCCTAGGCTTAAAACATAAATACCAGGTCATGTTTAACTGAATGATATAAGTTGNCACCCCAGTTCTTCATAGATTATTAACCTTGGATACCTATACCAACGTGCAATTTTCATGACTATTTAACTTCAAACCTTCATGTTGATTTACACTGCCTTACTTGGTTGTTCTGTCATCCCATCATGTGTTTCTTCGATTTGCAGAATATATTTTGTAAATGCAAATTATAATATGTACAAAGTTGTCATCAACAATGGAATGTAAATAGTATTTGTGCCTTTAAACAAATTCAATCAGTGCCAAGGAATTATGAAACAGAAACACATGTAAGTGAAAGAAGCCAAGAGAAGACTATGAAATGTGCATGTAGATCTAATCCTAAGGCAGTACAACATTCTAGTAAAAAGTACATTTGCCTTCAAACAAATACATCAGTTCCAAGAAATTAAGAAACCACATACAAGTGAAAGGAGCCAAAAGAAGGCCATGAAATGTACATGTAGATGTGTTTACCCTAAAGCAGTTCAAAACATCCTACCTGTTGCTTCACAAGAATGCCATGCAATGAGCCAGTGGGAAGACAAGACCTGGCATTAGCAGAGTCAGGGGCATTCGCTTTACTCACTAATGTCCAGTTTTGTGGTATCCGCAATGATTTCTTAGTGCACACAACTTGAACAACTTTGCTTAAAAAATATTCTTCCTCCAAATTGAGATCATCCAGCACACTCAGTAGCTTATCTTGGTCTACAGAGTCAAAAGCTTTTTCAACGTCTGATACAATGATGAAAACTCCAGGTTTGACAGAAAAACCACTCTGCAGGAGTGATAAGAAAGGGAGAAGCCTTTTATATGCATCATTGTAGTCAAATACAGATGAACCCAACCTCTCTGGTTCATTTACTACTATACGTTTGAGCACCAAGTGCAAATCTTTGAGGACTTCATTAACAGATTTGTAATTGTAACATTTAACATTTCTACCAACACCTACTTTTCTCAGACCTTTGGATTGCATAGGAGGATTCACAGGCAACTTTGCCGATGCTTTAAGGTTTGCCAGCATTCTTACCCCCTTTCCTTTTGGACAAAGTCGAACTTTTGAGAAACCAAATGATCTATTCCATATTATTTTCTTGACAGATGCAACATTTAATTCTTGATAACCTTGATCTCTCAAGAAAGTCACAAATTTGGAAATAATGTTCTCCCACGTAGGCTTGCGATAATAAAATATATCTTGTTTCTCATGCTCAGCTTCAGTTACGTAAAAGTTAGCTTGAACCAGTGGCACAACAATTGAAGAAAAGAACCAAAATATCCAGTGCTCTAGTACTTTATGTTTCAGTAAGGAGTACTGATCTGAGAGTAGATGATACCTAGATAGTTTAATTTTCCTCATGCTCTGCTTGAGCGTGAACTTCTCAAACCTTCGTAGCTTAACAAGCTTGGAAATATTCTTTGTTAGAACTCTCCAATTAGAAGGAGTCCCCAGTAAATTTATGGGCACTATACTTCGACAAACAGCCCAAATAAATGATACAACCTGCTTCTTCATACAATAACACTTGGTTGGCTCCAACAGAGAGGGTTGTGATTCTGGAGTTGTGCTGCAACTTTCGGACTCGATGTCATTGTGAGCTAATCCACTTTCAGCACAACCTTTTGCAAGTATACTTGCTTCAGTTTCGTGTCTCTGATCCCAAATAGTTAAGAACATCACTTTCAATATCCATATCTGGAAATGCTATTTACAGACAACTGAGTAGGACCATCCATCGGTTTTTCACTAAGGTGCAAGTGGTCATGTCAGATAAAAGTACCACTACCGAAGAGGTCATATGAGCCACATTCTTCTGCTAGATAGCAATAATAGATTGAAATAGGCAAAATCATGGCTCACAAATTGAAAATATCCAAAATTTCAATAATTAATTGTAGCTTAGTTAATAAATCTTAGGTGTCAACATCTTATAAAAGATTAGTACTTGTTGGGTTTGAAGCCCTGGTCAACAATTTAACTTGGACAACTACGCATTTCAAAATGGTGGAGAGTACTGGCAAATAATGACTAATTTTCTTTCTTTTCAAATCTTTTTATACCTCAGAAGGACCAGAAACAAGAAGAGGGTGAACTGAAGCTTGAACAAGTTTAACAAAGACTAACCTCCAAGATAGTTGCAATAATACTTTCGGTACATTGATCCAATGATGGAGTAGAACAGTGCTTTTCCAACAGCCTTACGTGTTGGCAATGGTGAGCTTTCGGATGAGAGTTTTCAGCAACTTAATAATTGAATGGTATCTACGTCAACCAAATGTGATAGAGAAGAGACTAAGCAAAACAGGTTTAGATGTTTACAAATAGTGTTAGAAAAGAGAATTAAGCAAAATAAGTTTAAGAATTCACTCCTTCCCAAAAAAATACAATGTCGAATGAACAAAAAAAATAGTGCAAGACATGTACCATGATCAATTTTTTTAGGATAAACAACTAAGTCATCCACACTTTCACAGCGAAAAGAAAGTAGAGATAATAGCGCAGAACATGGCAAATCGTCCGAAAGTGAATTTGAGAGACTCACCACCGGAAAACCCATCCAATGGTTACTTCAGTCAAGGAATTAGCAAATTGAAGTCAATCAAAGAGTTAAGGGGCCTAAAATGAACAAAATGAAGTCAACAGAATGAGAATTGTAAAGCTTCACGACGGAACCCAAGGATGTGGCCTAGTGGTCAATGAAGTGGGTTGAGAACCATGAGGTCTCAAATTCAAATTCCATAATAGGCAAAAACACTAGGTGATTTCCTCACATATGTCCAAGACTTGGTGGATAGAGTTACCCGATATTTGTGCAGGTGGGAGGTAGCAAGCTCCAGGACATTAGCAGCAGGAAGCTCTCAAATAACCCAATCAAATGTGAACTAATGGTGACAACGCAACAATACAAAATTATAGACAAAAGAAATTTCTGATAAACTAGTCCCGGCAACCCAGCTCCAGGACACTAGCAGCAGGAACGCTCTCAAATAACCCAATCAAATGTGAACTAATGGTGACAACGCAACAATACAAAATTATAGACAAAAGAAATTTCTGATAAACTAGTCCCGGCAACCCAGCTCCAGGACACTAGCAGCAGGAAAGCTCTCAAATAACCCAATCAAATGTGAACTAATGGTGACAACGCATTGATAATACAAAATTATTGACAAAAGAATTTTCTGATAAACTAGTCCCAGCAACCCCCTATATATCTAAATACACTTTGAGCTCCTACAGCATTACCATTTACTTGTGTACAAGTCAAACAACATTATAACAAAGATCTGGAATCTCTCAGGTGAGACTAATATACGTGCTAGCCTTTCTCTTTCAAGAAACAAATAGCAAAAGAGCAGCTTCTACAACTTGATTCTACCACTTTCTTGGCAAACAACCCAATGTTTGACTACTTTATCAAGCTTCATAACAGTATATATCTTTATCTGACCAGTAATTATGTTTATGTCGGCCATCCATAATAATTCCGAATTCATGCAAATCACTAGTCCCTTAAGTGCAGATACTTTATGCTCGAACACACTAAGAATATGGAAACAGGAGAAGGGGAAAATTCCTGATTTCAGAAAATTTAGACTGCCTGAGAGAAAAAGAAAATGGAGATTTGCAATTTCAAAACATATTTTTCAGAGTATATTTGAAATGGATTATCTGCACCATCATCTGAGAGGCATGCCTTAAGTACATGAGGAACGACCAAAGTAACCACATGAGATAATCATCCTTGGGTAAGAAACTTCAAAGATGAGGAATAAACATAGATGATGATCAACTAAGAACAAGGGAAAACTGTTGCTTACAGACAAGTGGATCTGATAAAAGTACAGTTGCTGCTGTGCGTGCAAGAAGCTATCTGAGTAGTGACATTTACACCAAGAGATCCAAAAATTTCCTTGAAGAGTCTATTTGCTCCAGAAGAGTCTGGCTTCAGCGAATTCATGATGTCTGAGTGTTCTTGAGTTAGTCAACAAAGTTTCCTCCAAAGGTGGTGATGCAGAGGCCAACAACAGTCCGTTTCTATTTTAGTTCTTCCATTTTCCTGGATTGGCTAGGAAATAAGAGAACAGTAAACTCCTCTCTAAACCAAAAGGGAGTGAAATCTAAGTGGCAAAAGGTTGCAAAACGTTTATGAATAAAAGTGGAACTCCAGTCCTTTCTTAATATTGATATTAGCAATGAAAGTGAACCATAATGCCAAGCAAGATTAGGATGGGGGCAAAGTAGAAGGATACGCTTGGATGGGAACACAGAAGGAAAACTTTCCAACTTGTAGAAGATGGTTTGCCTGTTAATTTGAACTTCCTTTTTGACCCCTGGGATTGTTTGAAAGACCAAACAACAAGAGCACCAAGTATTTTTCTGTTGACAAGAAAAAGACAAACATTTTACTAATCCAAAATATGTAGATGTATGTATAGCTGAATTATTTGTGAATACATTCAGCACTTTCGAGCCTCTTCCTTGAGAAGTTTAAGAATTCTGAATCTACTGATAAGGAAAAGCCCAACTCAGATAGAAGTTACTTACACTAGGAAAGTACTCTTGCATCACATCAGCACTAGTTACGATTGTTACACTTTTGAGTACCTTATTTCTTCTTTTTTTTCTGACAAATCAATAACTTATTTCTTTTTTTGTTCTTGTTCATTTTTCATCTTCTATTAGCATTCTTCTCTATGTTCTCACCTTTAGCCCTTAGAACAAAAAGCAGCTGTTCATTTCCTAGATGCAACATGTGTGGTAAGACTGACAATGACAGGGAAGATCCTTAAGGATTGCGCTAAGCAGACTTGTTTAGGTGTAAGCTGAATTTCAATTTTGAGGGCCTTTTGCCAGCTTTCACATTAAACAGTTTACAAAATGTGGAAACATAAGCATGCAATTTTTAACCCCAATTGGTCATGGTAAGGGATACAAACGATTACATTCTTTTACAAAGTTGCTTTTTGATTTCTATTATCCTTTATGTGCTTGTTTATATTCAGACTGCATAAAGGAGGATAAGTCATCTCAAGAGAACCTCCCCAGATAAAGAACTCTCAAATAACATCCATCTGTGTTTAGTTAACATGGGATACAACTCAGGAGTCCGTACAATGGCATGTCCTCATAATAATCTTATCATATGTTTGGTTAGTTCTGAATAAATATTCAGATAAGACAGTGAGACACAATTATCAAAATGCTCATGTATTATAAAATTGAATAAATCTAATTTTGCACGGTTCTCATTTATTTTGAGAAATTATGCAAGGTAAATCTACAAAGTAATAAAACTGTTTGAGACTATGAAGTTTAGTCAGAACCAATTAACAATAGTAAGTTATTCACTAGCCTTAACAATATTGGTCCCTTGGATAAAATGGGCTTAAGGATGACCCGTTCCAGCACACACCATTTTGCATCCCAAAAATAAGTAGGATTGAATCATCCCAGTGCCTCTCATCTTGACATAAAAGTCCATTCTTTTGCTAGAAGAAACTGAAAATGCATTTAATTATTTTATGATTGAAAACCTTCACCTGCAACATTCTGAGGCATTTTACCAGTTGGTGATTTCTTTATTAGCATATGCATCAGATGGAAACAGGGCCATTGGGTGGGCGAAGAAGATCACAAGCAAGACTATAGGATCAAAGTTGATAAAGGCAGTGTAAGTTTCGCAAAATCACCTTTTCAAGAAGAAGCATTGAATTTGAGCTTACATCACAATTCTGGTCTCCCAGCCAATTGTCCTTAGTGTTGGAATTCATACAAGGGATTAAGGAATATTTTTCTTGAGCCTTCAACTGCTTACGCTTCCTTTGACGCTGCCATTTATACTGTCTTTTACGTTTTCCACACAAGGAAGTATGTGTAATTGAGTAAAATTGGCCTTCCCTAGATGGAAGCACGTCACTACATTTTGTAGTTTCCGTCGATAACTTCTCCGCAGCACAATTTTTCCTGCAGCAACAGGGCATGGAAAATATAATCCCTACAATTGCAGCCAATCCAGCTAGCAGAATTTACAGTAACGACGTCAGGACACAAACCTAATGCACATCTTTTTCCTCATTGATGAGTAAACTTCATCTACACTTCTCTTTTTCCTAGATTCTGGGAGTAGCAATAAACTTTCACAATAATTCAAACAATGTCGCACTCAGATCTACTACACTGAAGTATGTTGAGTATATATGAAGAGAAATTGGAACTTAATCAAATTCAAAGCCCCTCAAAAGAACAAGTTTCTGAAACTAGTTACCAGGATGAAGTAATGAAGGCTTATAGGTAGTGGCAGATACATGCAGGAGAGATTTTCGGCGTAAGTCACAGATGGGAACTCCAGCCACCTGACGGTGTTTGTTTCGAGGGAGTCGAAAAAATATTGAAGTGTTCTTTAGTAAATAAACCATGAGAACATCCCCAATCTGCAGGTTGTCAAAGTACATTAAAGTTTACTTGCCTACCACAACACAAGAAAATATTAGAGTACACCCGAGAAGCTAATATTTTACACACCCTTTTAAGGAGAAGGCTCCATGCTGGTGATGTCAAAAGCTCTACTATGTCACTGAAGCGGCTCATCTATCAGATACGAAAAAACAGCTTTAAAGTAATCATCAAGCAAAAGAAATTAGGAAATAATAGAAGAACAGTTGAAATCAGATTACAAATCACTGCCACCTTGAAGGGGAGAAAAGGCATAACAATCATTACAGACTATCTTTACAGAAATATTCTTTATGCAGCTTGTTTACTTACCTGGCTACTCCCCTTTTTTAAATGAATTCAAACTAACTTAAACAAATCCTTTTTGACTAAACCTCAATTAAGAAAGCAGAGCTGCAATCTTGGGATTGGGAACTTAATTTGTATTGTAGAAATGAAAAATGCAGACAAAGATAATCAGCTTGAAAAAAGGCACTGCTGTCACCTTATCATAACCAGAACATATAACGTTGTTGGGTTGCTCGATTATTGTCATTTCTATTGTCCTCCTAACAAGCTGAAATAGCAAGCATGTAAAAGATTATCAATCTGAATTCAAACAAAAAGAATGATATCTTTAATATAATTCAAGTTAAATTTATGGTACTATACAGTTGTTTCTATTGCAGTATATATATAATTCCTACCAGTCTACTAGAGTAGCAGTATTGAAATACAAAAACTGAGAGATCTTAAATGCAAAGAAGGATATAACAATGATACTAACACTTTAAGCATCATACAATTATAGAGTTGTCATCCATATTATTTACAAACTACTAATCATCTTCAAACAAATGTCACATGGATGAAGAGTTCCAGGTCTTCACGTTAAGATGAGCTAATTTGATTTATTTGATTGGTAAAAATATACATTAAGATGAGCTAATTGAAGCATTAATCAAAAGATAGCATGTTTCAAAAACAATATGAATTACCAACATAGCATATTTTGCACCCTTGCACCATAAAGTAACTCATCCCATATTAATTCATGCATATCATGGGAACCATATTCGAAGATATAAGCATCAATATGAATCTAGAAATTAAGAAAGTTTTAGTGCATTTCAGTCTAGAGTATCCTTTAAAGCTGTATACACACATTATGATATAATTGATGCCTATATACTGCACAAGTACAGTCCCACATAGGTGCTAATCATAGGTCAAATGCAAAAAAAAATTGAAAGAAAAAGAAACATGCGTACACATCCAAGTATAGGATGCAACGAGTGTATGGCAGACATGGAAAAACTTTATTTTATTGCAGTAACTCCTGTTTTTCACATCCATATAGTTTGTTTTTCTAGGCAAGATTTCAAGGTTTGAGGCCTTCTATCGGATCCATCTCTTAGATAATTACACATGTCTAAACTTGTTAAGAACCTAGCAAGTTGACATAGATCACACAATGTTAATTGTCAAGGACTTGGAAAAAAGTGCAATATTTGAGATGTCTCTAAAGCTTCCTCCTTAGATATCTATTATTTCAATTGGCTGTTAAACTTTGAACTATGGGCCACATGTTCTCCCCAGTTGAATGACCAATGCATCAGGAGGCAAGAAGAATTCTAATAGATACAAGCCAAGTGTATTGTTTACCCCAAAATTGGGTAACAATTAAATTTGTACGCAGTTTTAAGGATATGTGGTTTAATTCAACACGAACAATTAAGAATATCAGATAAATGAGTTAGAGATGAAATAAACGTTTAAACCAATTGCAATGGTATGGCCAAGCCTGAGCTTAGACTGACCAATGACCTCGTCCTCGATTGGACCCCCGGTCGTGAATGAAGAACAGAACAAATGAGCAAAAACTGTAACAATAGCTAAAAGGCAGAAAATAAACTTGTATTGCTTTGATTCAGTTCTAATAGAAGTCTAAAAAAGGTAATAATATTCCTTTCCCGGTGTTGTTCACGAAGTGTTGTAAGAGGATCACGATCCTCCAAAAGGACGGGTGGATTTTTCCAAGGCACACCCCGTACCTTTTGCAGAAGTCAAGGACTATGGGGTCCACCGGGCGAGCGTGAAGGGGTAAGTGTAAACAGTTAAGCACCCCTCCATGTGAGTAGTGATGTCGTCGTTGGGCCGGAGGACGACCACATCCTTGCCTTCCCAGTTACAGTCCACTCGGACTGTGGGCAGTGTTTCCTCAGTAACGGAGCATATGTACCTCCATGCTCCCTCGCCTTGGGTCCTATTGACTAAAGGCCTTCTCGACGTAAAATCGTTCCCAATGGAGCAGCCCCTGGTTATGAAGCTCTTCAAGGGGGGCTCCTGAGCTACCTCGGGAATGGCCACATCGGCGTTTGTGGCCGGTTGGGAAGATGAAGGAGCAGTTTGTTAAGCCACAGACTTGGAAGTTTTGGCCATCGTAATCTGGGAAATATGAAGGTTTGAAGAAAAAATATGAAGATTTGAAGATGAGATGAAGGTGTGAAGGTATGGGTTGAAGATCCAAAGAGAATGTATGAGGATTGAAGATGAAGATATGAAGGTTTAGGGAGCAATGTATAAAGATTTGAAAGAGTTAAAGACAATTAGAGAATTCGAGGTGAATATTTGGAATCAGAAACTGAAAGAAGTGAAAAAGGGTCGGAACTTTTATAGAGGAAGAATAATCAATGCGTGACATTTCGCATTCAAGGACAGTCAACCGGCGGCTGACACGTGTCTGAAGTCGGAACGACGCGACTGAGGGGACGTTTCGTTGACCCGTCATTTCGGTTGTAACGTACGAAGGAACCGGGGTCCATTAATTGCTTCCCGTCGTTTCGGTAAACCTACTCTCTGGAAAGCGAGGGGACTATCTGTGTACAGGTAAAATCGAGGGATATATCTACCCCGATTTTTCGACGAGAAAATGGAGGGAGAGCACCGATCCACGAGATTGTAATCGAGGTCCGAGACCCTTCGTATCAAAATCAAGGAAGAGCGAACGATGTATCCGTCATCGAATGCGGTAAAACAACGCACCTCGGGCCAAGTATAAGTCATATACCTCGAGAGACACGATGAACGGTTGTGCATGGCGGATAGAGGGCCGTGATACTCGCCCTCAACTAGATGTCACGGCGCGAATTTTGCTTGATGTCGATTGTGGATCAACAACTATCGGGAAAGGAAGATTATTACCTTTTTTAAACTTCTATTAGGACTGAAACTCTCCTACTATATAAATAGGAGGTTTTTCTTTTCTTCCGACACATTGTAACACGCAAATCAAAGCAATACAAGTTTATCTACTGCCTTTTAGCTATTGTTACAGTTTTTGCTCATTTGTTCTGTTCTTCATTCACGAATCACGACCGGGCTTGAACCGGGGTCCAACCGAGGACGAGGTCATTGGTCAGACTAAGCTCAGGCTTGGCCATAACATTGCAATTGGTTTGAACGTTTATTTCATCTCTAACTCATTTATCTGATATTCTTAATTGTTTGAATTAAAACACATATCATTAAAGCCGCGTACAAATTTAATTGTTACCCAATTTTGGGGTAAACAATATGCATGAAAAAAAACAAAAAAGGGAAAAGACCAAACAATCAAACGCACTCATAAATATGCACCAACAGTCACAACTTTCAGCATAAAACTATTTGAAACTGTTACAGAGTGCATTCATATTTAGCATGTCAAACTGATTCTTTTTCCGGGGCTGTCATTCTACATTCCATATTCTTCCCTTTGCCAACATAAAAGTGGCAAACAGCTCCATCTGACATTTGAAACTGGTTCGACTTCAAGAATCAATTAATGCTGTAATCAGATAAAAGATTCGTCTATAATGTAAACGAGAATCATCTTAGTAATATACTAACAAAAGGAACTTTTGCGCTGATTTGGGTAGAGGAAAAACATGAATGTAGTTAGTCCAAGCACAAGGATGAAATGATCCTAGGAAGGAACTGATCTTAAGGCTAGATATGCATATACATGAATCTTATCCCCATTAAACTGCTGAAACAATAACATTGGATCATCACGTAAATGCTGAGTACTAGCTATTTGCGAGACCGAACACATGAACCACCCTGCAAAAAGCATACTCTCAGGGTTCTGCCGAGTTTGTCACTCATGTAATATGCAAGACAACTTTAGCATTCGAGCTCTGTTAATCATTTAGCCTCTAGTAAGCAAACCAGCAGATCTTAGCTTAACTGTACATTTCAGCCATTTCTAATCACTTCACAGGTTTATACTCAGCCGAGAAGATCATCATATTTTGCTTTTTGTGTGTCAACCATGTTGCTTTTTACTTAATTTATATTTAAACATAATATTTTCACCTTACAGTATCTACTATTCCATATGTTTTCTAGAGAATCATTTCAAAACAATTCACATAAACACCCATGTGACAGAGACCTTATCAAAATTTCAGCTCAGAAAACAAAGAATAATGAAGAACAATTGTAACAGCAAGGAACAACCATATAATATTATACCTAAAAAAGAAAAAGAAAAACTCACAAGAGGAACAGTTCCCGCCAAAAAAATTGAATATCTAAATTTTCCCGCCAAAGTCCGACGACTTCCTTTTATTCTTAATTTTGTTTCCAAATGCATACTTTTCACAACAACAATCACATTAAAACTGATATAAAAAGAACGGATACCTCAAGGTGGGACCAGCGGCAGTGAGGATCGTACACGCGGAGAGGAGGCGTGCTATCGGAGAGGACAACGAAGCATTTGTTGAGAAGCGTCCGATAATCATCTGGATCCTTTTCCCTGATCAGAAATAACGTGGCGCCATTTTCGCCGACGCATCCGAGGCACTGGCGACCCTTGCAGAGGCAATTCGCCGACGTTTTTGAAGGAACTAGAGATAAAATTGTATGTCCTAGAGTACGTGCACGGTTGTGGAACAACCTCCATAGAACCGGTGGAACTCTCCGTCTCTTCGTCGACATCGCCGGACGGCGAGTGGGATCGAACGGAGAGAGGTGTGTTAAGGAGGAGGAGAGGATTGTGACTTGTGAGTGAAAATTAAAGCTGCAATGAGTTTTTTTAACTTTTTGGGAAGTCGATTTTCTTTTACCCAACGGTTATTGGGGTAAAAGGGGGTAAAACCGTAAAAGACAACAGTAATGAAAATCAACCTTCTTTTCTTTTGTTCCCTCCCGATAACTCTGTTTCCCGAAGTTAAACTGGATTCTATATTCACATTTGCATAGTGTTAAGATTGTGTGGGCTGTAATGTGAGGCCTTTAAACTCCCTTTTCAGTAAGTCATAACCTTAATTAGAAAAATGGTTCAAATTTACTCTCTTACTGTAAAAATATTAGTTTTACCATTCGTTTGGATGAATTTCACGTATTAAATTACCTTAAGAAAAAATTTAATTAATCTATCTACTTTTAATTATGAATTAAAATTGCTTTTATACAATACAATTTGTTAATCACAACGATGTGCATTGCTCTCAAAATATAACAAATGGTAAAATTACAAAAAAATGTTTTTCATATAGTTAAGTGGTACAGTCGACTTGTCGCAAATGCAAAAGGAGATTTGTGTTAATCTATTTAATATAATTGTTTACCCGAAAAACGAATAGAGTTGAATTTGTACGTAGTTCTAAGGATATGTGGTGTAGCTTAATATAAATCGTAAGGATAAATAGAAATATCAAGTATAGATTACAAAGAATGCAAAATAGACATGGTTGTAAAGAAGATAAAATTTTGGACTAAACAAGTGGAATCAGATTAAGAAACTTGAAAGAACGACTCTTCATTATAGGAGAATATGATGCTTGAATTACAATGTTAGCAAAAACTTGTCTCTACGGAAATGATAACTATCCCTTTTATAGTACAGGGATCTTACTTTAGATATAATTAAAAATATTCAGTGGGAGACCCATGATAAATCAGTTTTTCCGCAATTCCTACCAAGATTCTCTCCTCTAATGGGATTGCAACGGCTCTTGTCTATGAGCTCGAGCTCTCGATCTTGGCTTGAGCTCGATTCTGACTCGGACCCTTGAATTGATTCGGGGTCAATGTTGGTCGGTCTCTGGATCATAAGCTTGATAACTTTATTTTGATAGATTCGAGCTTGATAATGATATCAAACTCGACATTGATCGGCCCTTCGGGTTCGAAGTTTGTTTGTATCATCTTCGGAACTCATCTCGAAGTCTCACTTCGATCGATTATCTTTCGAACTCGATCAGACGCACGAAAGCCGAAATCTATTTCGATCGTATACAATACTAAAAACATTTTGTCACGGAGAATGGGGAGTGAAAAAGACCAATGCATAATGAGCACTGTTCAATATTTTTTTCTCGTTGAATTAAATTTGTGGAGTAAAAAGACAAACTTTATGAATTCCTGATATTCTCTCCTTTTTGTACGATCCAAACACGAAAAAGAAAACTTTCAAAGCAGATGCTCAACAAAAGAAATCGTATTCATGATATGATGTTATTGATGGTATTGCAACAAAAACTAAACTTATTTAAAGTGTAATTAATATTTAAACTAGAATGTACGTAACTTAAATTATACTTTCTTAGAGCCTGTTTGGACATAAGAAAATTTTCACTTTTTCGAAATCAGTATTTGATCATAAATTTTTAAATTTTCACTTAAAGATGAATTTTGAAATTTTTCGAAAATTTGAAAAACTCCAAAAAGTTATTTTTCAAAATTTTCACTCAGATCACTCACAAAATTTTAAAAACAACCCAAAATTATATTCATATCCAAACACAACTCTAATTTTCAAATACCATTTCACTTGAAAAAAGATTTTACTTTTTTTCTGAAATTTTATAATTCTTATGTCCAAACGCCCCCTTAGTAGTTTCCTTCTCTTCTATTTCTCTCGGGGAAATAAGAAGCCAAAGTTTTGCCTCCTTAACTGAACATTCGAGGACGTTCTTTGCAATTCGAGAAATGCAACTTTTGGAGGAAAGTGCAGTAAATCAGCTTTGACTAATAAACTTGGTGGTTGGCCGTCCACTAAAGCACCATTATAGCATGTTTGCGTCTCCTCAAAATAACTTATTTTAAAAAGTATTTTAAAAAAATATTAAAGAAATAACAGTTTATGTTTGACTAATTAATTTAAAAAATAATTTTTAGCAGCAATTAGTGTTTGACCAAGCTTTTAGAATTTTTAAATATTTTTTCTCAAAAATATTTTTCTAAAGAATACTTTTGAAAAAAAATTACTTTGTTCTACTTCTCAAATATTGTTTCTACTTCTATTTAAAAGAACTTTTTTCCCTTCTAAAAACTTAACTTTAAAAAAGATTACTCCCTCTGTTTCAAATTAGATGAAGTACTTTCCTTTTTAGTTTGTTCCAAAATAAATGACATATTTCTAAATTTGAAAATAATTTAACTTTAAACTCTTCATTTTATCCTTAATGAGAAGCTTTTATAACCACACAAATGTCATGACCCTACAAAACTTTTACCCCTTAAATTTTTAAGACCATAGGTTTCAAATTTTTTTTTTTTTTTAACTTCGTACTGAATCAAATTAGCGCATCTAAATTGAAACGAAAAGAGTACTTTTTATCTAAATAAATATTTTTGGTCAAAAAAGACTAAGCCACACAAGCTATAGAAGTCTTGCAAAGTGGCTTTGTATAGGCTTCATGATGTTTCTGCTTCTTTACTACTCCTATTATTGACTTATGAATAAGTAATAGTCCACTCTTTAATTAGATTTTCATTTACCAATCTGCCTTCAACTTAGTCGCAAAGCGAGTAAATTCAATAGTGTATTTAAATTTTGAATATTTTTTGTCAATGGGTTATACAAAGATGTTCAAAGTCTATTTTTAATCAATAACAAATAATATTTTACCTTATACGTAATATAATTTTTCGACGAAGACAACCGTTGGGCCAACATAGGTTCGCCTATGCTTCAACTGCGTAATGTTTCCAGTCAGGTGGGTCCAGAACTAGACATGCACGAAGATATCAGTATCACATGGGTCTTCGCAGGGACAAAAGTAGTGTTAAATCGAACGATTTAATTAAACTCGTAATTTTTGATTTAAAGTAAAAATTTATATATAAAAAGAATTTATTAAAATTATAAAATTAGTGAATAACTTTATAAAAATAATAATTTTAATGCTAAAAATTTTAAAAATTAAATCCACAGAATTTAAATCTTGTATCCGACGGTGGGTCTTCATACATGAACCCATGAATCTCACTATAATTTAGGTCTTTCTGTATTCTAGAACTCTCTAGGCCAGCGCGGCGGTTTTGGAAGCACCACCCACAACATTTAATTATCACGTTATCTAATTATTGCATTAGTGTGAAGAAGACGTTTCATTAAGTGTTTGAATATGATTTGGTTGAAGTTGGAAAATGTTAGTCGAAAGTTATTGTATTTGAACATAAATTTTAAGTTTGTGAGCGTAAACTTGAATTCCTTGAACCGATCGAAAACAGTCTCTTTCACATTCACAAGATAATATGAGATTACAATGAGTTTGTTATTGTTCTTGTTGAACGTAAACTTGAAATATTCTTCGAACATGTTTTTCAAATTTTAAATTTTTTATTTCAAGTTTGAAGTTAAATAACGGTTCATACTGTAAAACAAACACTTATAAGGTTTCCAAAATTTATTCATTTACCGGCGTGAATATTTTAAAATTATCCGTCGTTATATTTTTTTCATTAATCATTTCATATTTTGTATTTAGCTTAGCGTAGACTAAAGAATTTCAGAATTCGAAAATCTTGACACGGTAAATTTCACATATCAGAATAATTTAGAATTTTGTTCAAATTTCTGCATTTACTTTTGATTGTGTTTAATAACACTAAATTATACTTCGATTATTTATAAAGCTTTTGGGTAAGATTTTAACATTATTTGATTGGGAAGAATTGTATTACTTCCCCTCCATATATTTCTCATAAAGATTATACTTCTTTAATTTTATATGAACTTCATGTATACGCAATAATTATAGTATATAAAATGCTCTACACTTACATCCAACTAAGGGTAAAAAGTGTTTAAAAATTATACCATTCGATTTAACCCGGCAAGTTAACTAATTTTCTCAAATATAATTTTACGAATGATTATTTAACTTTTTATTACTGCGTCGATTTACTATATTATCATTTATAATAAAAAATTAATCAACTTTACTTAAGTATCATTAAATCACTAAACTATTTTTTTGTAATCAAAAGATTATTATAACTTGGCCTAAATATCCTAAAATAGTTCATTTGTTTCCTTCTAGTCACATTTCAAATTACTAAAAATAAATCAAATCAAAAAGAACAATATGGTTATTGCAGTCCAGAATACGCACAACTGTCAATTCTTTTGTACGACAATTTACCAATGAATTAGACGTTGAGAGTACATAAACGAATAAACGATAAAGATCACAACATTTAAAATCATTTAGTAACTTATCAAATTATTAATTGATAAGGACTTAACCCATTCTTAAAAGAGCTAGTCAATTTGAATTCCGAACTTATCATAATGATCCATTATTGTGGACCATTAGATCTTTTTAGGCACCATAGATCTAACGGTACAAATTGCAAAGATTATTGAAGTCCAGACCATCGAAAAAATGCTCTTTGGATTTTATATATATAGTACTTTCAATTTGATGAAATCTGAATGCTTGTCAAGGTAGATACGTGGATTTTCTCCTATATCATGAAAGTTCCTTTTGTATTGGGTAGGAAATGAAGATATGTGAAGTTTTCTTACCGATAAGGGTTGTGGTTGTGGTGGAGTGATAAGTACTTATTTATTATTAATTAGAGGTCTCGAGTTCGAGCCTTGAGTATGGAATCGCCTTTGTTAGAGAGCATTTTAACTCCAAGGACTTTCCGTCGCGAATCCGAATTTATTCGGACCCCAATACGAATATCAGATGACGGACATCACGTGGGAAACAAAAAAAAAAATCTTGGACAACAACTTAATTTGTTTGGCATGTTTTTGCAAGTTCTTAAAATTTGAGGTTAAAATTCCTTCTTCTTTTTTTTGTGGTGGTGGGTGGGGGATAGTACAAACAAGTTCTTTTTTCGGGGGAGAACTTCAAATAATGTCATTCTTTGTAATGGCCTGACCGGTCGTTCTAAGCTTTAGCAATCCGTTCAGTGGTTGGGGGTCTTGAGTGGCTTCATATTGT